TGTGTGTGTGTGTGTGTGTGTGTGTGTGTGTCCCAAATCCTGACAGGATGGAGAAAGGGAGGAGAATGGATTGTGGTGTGACCACACCCCACTGGGAAGTGCACTCTTCCTCTCTCACTCACATTGTCTTCCTGTCTGTCTGGTCAGTACATGTACTCACTGGCAAATAATTTTTTTTTTTTTTTTTTTTTTGCAAATAATTTTTTTAAAAAAGACTTGAATTGTGGGGACAGAAATTTGTAACACCATTCTCACATTTATGTGAAACATATACTCAATTAAAATATCACAAGGAGGGGCAGGCAGGTGGCATGGTGGTTAAGAGTGTTGGACTCTCACATGGCCGACCGCGGTTTGAGTCCTGGACCTGTCGGCTTGCTTTCGCACTTTCTCTCTGTCTCTTTCTCTCTCACTCTGTCCCTTTCTGGTCAAATTAAAATAAATAAAATAAAATGAAGTTAATAGAATAATTCTTTAAAAATAATCACAAGGGATAACACCCTAGGTCATAAGTTCCATAGTTGGGGAAGGGACTATATTTCATTCTCTTTTTTTTCTCTAGGGTGTCCACCATAGAGTTTCAGAAAGTTGTTGGAGTTTTGTTAAATTTCTTGAGGCAGTTAATACAAAGGAGAGGTCTCTTTGGGTCACCAACTTGTACATAAAACAGTAATGTACCCTGAAAAAAATACTTTAGACCGGTAAGATTTGCTCTAGTTATTGTTCAGTATGCTCCTCTGTGAAATAGGACTGTGTCAAAGTATTAGGTTAAGTGAGATAACAGGGCTAGCTGGTAGCATGGTGGTTAAAACCTCAGGATCCTATGTGGCCAACCATGTGGTTCGAATCCGAGACTTGGCAGCTGGAAAAATATGCCAGGGGCATGTGTATGTGTGTGCCCAAAATCTTGAATGAAAAGAAAATAGAGGAAAAGAGATTGCCATGTGACCATTTCTCATATTTTCCTTCTCCTTGTCTGTCTCTGGTGAGCACATGTGCCCTCTGACCTTTTTTTTTTTTTTTTTTAATGAAATAACATAAAATGCCTTGTATAGTGTCTGGTCCACAGTGAGTACCTAATATATTTAAGTTTTGGTTTTTTCTTCTTTCAAGTGTTATCTTAAAAACTCTAGTGTGGGCCAGTCAGTGGCATGGTAGTTAAGGCAGCTGAATCCCACATGGCCAACTGCGCTGTTTGAGTCCCGGACTCAGTGGTTTGAAACACATACAAGGCACATACAGAGAAGAATGAAGAAGGGATTGTGGCATGGCCATTCCCCCTGGGGGGTGCTCTCTCATTTACCCTCTTTCTTTCTCTGGTGAGCGCACATACCCTATAGTAAATTAAACAAAACAGAACACTACAATGTCTAGTGCACATGTGACAGAGTTTCAGATACAAGTACAAAACAGAAAAGAATGAAATATAAATTCCCTAACTCAGGTACTCCAAATATAGCTACTTATTACATTAATTATATCTTAAAATCCCTCTTTGTTGAGATTTATACTTTATTTAGAGTAGTGGTATTGCACTAGTCTGTTAGTTTAAGACTTGTGAGGAAAATTATGATCCAGTCTTAATATTATTAAAAAATACATTTCTCCCAAGCAATTAGTTTGTGTTTTAACTATGAATTATTTAATTGATCACATTTCTCCCTGTTGACTGAAAGAAAATTTAGAACCAAATTTGTTTCTTAAATATTTAGCAAGAGGTACCAACAGATGGCATAGTGGTTACATCGCTGGACTCCCATTTAGTTGACCATGGTTCAAGTCCTGGACCTGGCAGCTTAAAACTCACACTGGATGTGTGTACATGTAGCATAGCCATCCCTAACCCTAACCCTGGGGGTGATTTCTTGCTTTCTGCCTGTCTCTGGTGAGTACATGTGCCCTATAGCAAAAATCTCTCTCTTGCTGTATATATATACATATATATATATGTGTATATATTTATAATTATATTATAAAAATATATAAAATATATGTATTATAATTATATTTAGCAGGTGTATAAGACTTCACCATGTAGGTTCTGGCATTAACTTCACTTGTAACTCTATTTTATATCTTTCCTTTTCCTTTTATTGTTTTTTTGGCAGAAGGCTCATGCACTCACCAGAGAAAGACAGACAGAAAAAAGCACCCCCCAATCTGCTGCAATCTCGTCTTCATTTCTTCATCCTGTTGAGATTTTGGACACATGTGCACAAACACACACCAAGCATGTCTTCTATATCTTTTATCAATTTTTTCCCTTTGAAATATATGCTTACCTACATTAAATGTATATATTATATATACATCTATATATAATATATACATAATATATATTAAATATATAATCTTGATATATAGTTCTTCATAAACTTTCTTAAGTTGTGTAGAAGAGAGTATTTTCCTTCTATGGAAGGAAAAAATTTGTGTGTGTGTGTGTGTGTGTGTGTATAGGATTGTCAGAAAAATCATGACCTTTTTTTTCTATGCATAAATGCATCATAACTTTCCCAGCAATCCAATATATAGACACATACAGGGACTTGTAAAAGTTCGTGGAAAATGTGTATTAAAACTATGCATGAGTCCAGCAGGTGGTGTGGTGGTTAAGTTGCTGGATCCCACATGGCCTATTCTGCTGTTCAAGTCCTGGACCCAGTGGCCTGAAAATCATGCTGGTCATATGTGCATGCATGACCAAAATCCTGAGAGGAGAATGGAGAAGGAATGGTGGCGTGGTCATCTCCCCAGGAGAGGAGGTGGTGATTTCTCATTTTCCCTCTTTCTGTCTCTCTGGCAAGCACACGTACCCTATAGCAAAAATCTTAAACAAACAAAAAAACTGCATGGGTTTCAAAACTTTTTTGCATCAAAATAAATTCATAACTTTAGTCCCATTTTTCACAATTTTGAAGTACCCACGTGTGTGCATACATGTGTATGTAAAAGTTTCCATGGCAACACACATCAGTTGGAAAGGGAAGTTATAACAAAAAGACCTAGGTGCCTTGTCCTTTTCCTTTGACAAAACCTAATAATGGAGGATTTCTCTTTTCTCTGTGCTATTTTCCCCCAAAAGCATGCTCATCAAAGTTGTTTATATAGCTTGGCTATTCTGCGGTTTTTATCACAGGCAGAAAGGGAATTGACTTAAAGGATATTGCGTAGATCATGAATCAGCAGTTCTGGAGAGCCAGACTCTGGAAATCTTCAGGAACACAGGACAGCCAGGCAGCTGGTAACACAGTCTAAGTCACACCTAGAACCAAGGCAGGAAGGAAGCTGCCCCTGAACTGTGCCGATGTCTGCCCCCTTGCCTCAGCAGCAGTGCAAGACGAATTCCCCTGATCCCTTGGAAACAAGCTGTTACTGCCGCTGTAGACAGAATGGATCTCCCACTGCCTGTTTCCTTGTATCACTGCTCTGGACTCAGGGCTCTGGGTGCAAGCCTCCTACTAGATGGCTTAGGTCCTATGATTATTCTCTAGTTGCAAGGGAGACTGGGAAAATAAGACCTGATTTATTTCTTATCTTTTTTTATTCTGATCTTTTCAATCTTTTATAGTGAAAGGAAAGATCTGCTTATTTCTACACTCCCCTGGAGAATTTCCCAAGC